ATCCCTGTATCCCAGAGCCCTGTTGTTCCAAAGTTGAGTATGCTTCACTGTTTACCTCTGTCCCACTAGGCCATGCAAACCTGTCTCAGTGTTCCCCTGTCTATCTTTTTCTTCTGCCTCCTCTCCCCTTCTTGGATTGCCCTCCCCAACACCTAAACTAAATCCCCCACCCCAACCCCATTGTGGTTACCTTATTATATTCCATTCATTCTTCCCTCCATTTAAGACAGTCTGTTTTATACAGTAATCTACCTGACCTTCCACCATCTGGATCTCTGTTCCTCTGTGTTTACCTTCTTGCACATTATAATTGTTTTGATCATAGACTCACTCCCAGATCCTCTGTTCTTATAAATTTATTCTGTTCTTGACTCTTCCATGTGTCGACCGAGTTCAGGTTGATGATGCCACGTACGTCATTCTGTAGTTGTCTGTTCTTGTTGGTTCTCAGTCCACAGAACTTCCTTTAGGATGTTTTTCAGAGCAGGGTTGGCTTTGGCAAAATCCCTTAGCTTCTGTTTATCCTGAAATGTTTTGATTACACCATCGTATTTGATTGACAGCTTTGCTGGGTAGAGGATTCTTGGGTGACAGTTTTTTTCTTTCAGGGTTTTATATATGCCTCCCCATTGCCTTCTTGCCTGCATGGTTTCTGTTGAGAAATCTGAGCTTAATTTGATTTGCTTGCCTTTGTATGTTATATTTTTCTTTTCCTGAGCTGGTTTCAAGATCCTGTCCTTACCTTTGCTTTTGGAGAGCTTGATTATTATATGTCTTGGTGATTGTCTTTTAGGGTCTATTCATCCAGGGGTTCGTTGAGCTTCTTGAATGCTCATCTTTTCGTTTTTCAGGATGTTAAGAAAATTTTCTTCCAGCAGCTCTTCAACTGTCTCCTCTGTGGACTTGTGTGATTGTTCCTGTTCTGGAATGCCAATAATTCTTGTGTTATTCCTCTTCATGTTATCCATCATGAATCTTGGCCGTTGTCAGATTTTTTTTATCCTTTTTTGTGTTTGTGCTTCTATCTTAGTAGTGTTGAGAGATTTATCTTCTAGCTCACTAGTTCTGGCTTCTATCTCTTCAATTCTACTTCTTTGCCCTTTCAGTGTATTGTCCATTTCTGATATTCTATTATTAATCGTTTGGATCTCTTTCTGTAGGTTTTGAATTGTTTCTAATGCTCTATCTATCTTATTTGATTGTTCCCGTAGCACTTTCCTGACTTCTTCCTTATTTTTGTCAACTCCATTGTATAGTGTTTTGATACATTTTATAATGATTTTTCTGAATTCCTTCTCCTGCATTTCCAAAGCCTGCCCATCTTCCAGTACGGAGTGTAGGTCTACTTCCAGCTCATTTGCCTCAGTCACTTTATCTCGTTTCTGGACATGTGCAGATATGGTTGTCTGCTTCTGTTTTTTGGTCATATTCAGGGGTTATCTGTGGCCTTAATACTTAGATGGGTGTGTATTTTGATATTTTGTATGCTTTCTGATTGCCTCCAAGTAGATGTGATCAAGAAATGGGCTTCCCTTCGCACTCTTCTTGAGAAGTTTCAAGATGCCACTGTTGGTCTTTTTGATGTAACTTAGGATTTAATTTTCAGTCTGTTTCCTTTTTTGTCTGCTTGTCCCACTCCACAATTCCCATTCAGGCCCTTTTTTTATAGTTGTAAAGAGTTCAGGGCCGTCTGTAGCCATTTGGTTTTAATTGGAAACTGTCTCTTTAAATTTCAAGGAGATCTGTTTGCATGTGTAGAAGAACCCTCCGAGGGTGGGGCTAGGGTGCCCACTAGCTCAGGCACCCCTATAGTCACCAGAATGGAGGTACACAGACAGCCAGGGACCAATGAACTGCTACCAAAAGAAAAGAATGTCCACAACTTTATCTGTACGGTTCTGCCAGGCGTCTGTGGCCGCTCCAATCCTTCCCCCGCCTGGTCTCACCCAACATGGCGGCTCCTGGAGCAGCTGAGCATTCCGAACTAGAAAGCAATGGATTTCTTGCTTCTGCCACAAATTCCCCAGCTGTAAGTCTTCCAGTCTTATAAATGTTCCTTTATATGTGGTTCAGAGTTCTGGGACCATCCCCTAAGACTGCTTGGTCCAGTATTCTTTGTTGTTGCTGGCGGTCCTCTTCACTGCACTTCCACCCTATCCGCCATCTTGTTTGTTCCGGTAGATTTTTTTCAGTTTCATCATCATAGGCTTTAGTGGTTGGTGTGTAAATTTGAATAATTGTGTTATTAACTGGTCCTTCTTGTAGGTGAATGGATATATATGTGTATATATATATATATATGTCTACCATGAATGAGTAGGGCATAGTTATGAATCATGGACATACTAACACAGAGAATGTGTACTTGGAATATTGGGAAATTAAGTTATGGCTGATATCTTAATTGTCAGGCTGGTACAATAGTTGGATTTTGTTTCATAGGGATGTATTCTGTTTAAAATTTTAGATAAATCAGCCTCTTTGGAATCAATGACCAATAAGCAGATCAGTGAGGAGCTAGTAGCGTGGTGGTTACGAATCAGGCTGTGAACCTCAGGATCAACAGTTCAAAACTATCAGCTGTTCCGCGGGAGAAAGATGAGGCTTTCTGCTCCCGTAAAGATTTATAGCTTCAGAAACCCTGTACAGGTCACTATGAGTCGGAACCGACTCCACAGCAACAAGCAGATCAATGAGTACTTGTTTGATTGAGGATGCTGGTTAATTCTCAGATAATATGGAATGTTCTCAATTACTGTATTGTTTTCACCGTAAATGCACATATGTAACACACAGACACATATCACATGCAAAGGAAGATAGTGTATGAGGAAACTCAGAGGTCTGATAAAAATATAATGTATGCGTCATTTGTGTCAAAACACAGTATATAAGGATTATTATCTCTGACTTTGATACTGTACTACACACACTTCTGTTTCATGCAGTTTTTTTCAGCATCTCTAACCTTAACCTCTTTCTTTTAAATAAATAGGGAAATCATGAGAATTCTAAGACATTTGTTCTAAGTAGTATGATTCTAGGATTACTATGGATTGAAATCAACTCAATGATACAAAACAGTAAGGTTTTTAAAGGTAGAAGAACACTAAGAATAATTTAAGTTAGCATTGCAGCCCTTTACACCAGAATCACGAAAAGCGCACCTATTTTCTTACCTTTTAGAGCCCTGTTAAGTTTGTTGTTGTTGTTGTTGTTAAGTGCCGTCGAGTCAGTTCTGACCCATAGCGACCCTGTACAGGGTTTCCGAGGGTGTAAATCTTTACGGGAGTAGAAAGCCTCATCTTTCTCCCGTGGAGCGGCTGGTAGTTTCGAACCGCTGACCTTAAGGTTCGCAGCCCGATTCGGAACCACTACGCTACCAGAGCTCCTTCCTGTTAAGTTTAGAAGCTTTGATTTATAGATCTCAATGTGTATGTTTATATCTCATCAGAACTTTTGTCTTGACAACAGGATGACTGTCAAATTGAATTTAAGATGTTATCAGATATTGTGCAAAATTTGGTTTAAAAAATTATTCAGCTCTTTAAAGTCTGGACTATACAGATATAAAAGTTTATGGTTGAACTGGCCACTTAGATTTAAATACGGATTCGTATCATTTCAAATCATTTTATCAAGTATCATTTTGTAACAAGGGTTTCAGGTTTTTTATTTGACTTTCACTGTTTCAGAAAGAGCTTGCAATTATGATTTACAGAAATGAAATCTTTTTCTCATAGTGCAATTGTGTTCACTAATAATTTACCCATTTCACATAAAAGTTGCATATCTAATAAAATTATACTTTGCTTGATAATATTTAATATATTAATAATACTTATTAAATTCTTATGTTGGTCAATTTGCAGGTGATTTATGTAACCTCATTACGCTGGATGTAGCTCACAATCAACTTGAACACCTTCCAAAGGAGATTGGAAACTGCACACAGATAACCAACTTGACTTGCAGCACAATGAACTGCTAGACCTCCCAGATACTATAGGTATGAGAAGAGAACGAAGGCAATGATAGTCATTTGCACCTATTTGGATACTAAGAAACTAGTTTTGATCCATTTTGGTAATAAAAATATGTTGTTGTTAAATGCCGTGGAGTCGGTTCCGACTCATAGCGACCCTCCCTGCACAGGGTTTCCAAGGCTGTAAATCTTTACGGGAGCAGAATGCCTCATCTTTCTCCTGTGGAACCGCTGGTAGTTTCGAACTGCTGACCTTGCGGTTCACAGCCTGATTCGTAACCACTACGCTACCAGAAAATATAGGAGATTAAATTCAAAATGATCACAATAATAAAACTTTGAAAAGAGTATTTTAAAATTGCTTCCATTTTCATTTCCTGGCAAGAAAAAAATAATAGATTATAGAAATAGAATATTCAGTCAGATGTATATCCCATGATAATTTTCAATGTTGTATATTGTATGATCACTTCTTTTACTAATGTAGACCACAAGGAATAGTCAAGCCAGTGCTGTTTAGTGTTAAAAGCATTGCCAATGTTGCGTAGTTTGTTCATCTGTAATATTGAGGCGATAAATGTTTCCAGGACTTAGCCAAACAAAAAAGGTCTAATTAAGCTAACTGAGATATGGTCTTTATTTATATAGTCTTGTTTATTCAAATGCCATAAATTTATGCAAGTAGTAAATAGAATTAAAACATTCTTGACACATTTTTAGTTATTGGTGTGGCATAATGATACAATAATGATTCTTTGGAAAATTTTTCTGTACTTCATATAATTTTTATATGAAGTATTTTTTATTATAATTATTATTTTAGAGGTTTTTATTATTACTTATTGTTTGAGACCTATGATGATATTATCTTTCCCCAGAAATACTTTTATTTGCTTCTGTCACCTACCTAGGAGGACCAGTTTAACTTACCAATTTTCAGTGCTCAAGATTTTTCTGGTCCTCTAACTGATTCTGACACAGGCTATAGACTGACTGGAGTGCTCCTTTACTTCCAGTTCACGCCTAGTAGGAGGGTACAACCCTTTAGGGTGCCCCTTCTAAAGCTGGATACCGATTTCAAGAGTCCTCACCTGTGGTAGGCCTTTGATTTTGATTTTTCCAGAAACATGCCGTAGCCTTTCCGCTGCATCTTCTGGTGTGTTAATGAAGCATTCTTGAGGCAACATCCTCTTCACTGTTTTACACTGTTTCTAAGCCTATCTTCTGACTTGGTAATTATTCACTGTTGTCTTAGTGCTCTATTTTTGGATGCTGTTTTGTGTTTTATTATTTTATTTGTTTTATTATTTTTTAAATGGGAGGGTTTGTTTGAATTTACCTAGTCTACATGAAAAGAAGCAGCCATTGTTAGAAAATGTTTTTTATAGGTTAGAGTATACTGTCCTAAGTTTTATAGGACAACTATTGATTTTCAAAAAAGCAGGCTGAGACTTCTTTTTTGCCAGTAATCTAGCTTTCTAATTTTTGGTCCAGGGCTTTTTATATCATATTATTATTCATAGTGACAAAAGATTAAGTATTCTTGTTTAATTGGTTTACTGTATCTATAGAACAAGGGTGAGGAACATCCTACCCATGGGTCATATATGGCCCGAGAAATCATTTGGTCTGGCTCTGCCAAGGCAACTGCAGTTCTAGCCATCACATTGTTGTTGAGTTAATTTGATGAAATATAGCAGGCTAATTTTTAAGTTGATAATTTTGTATGGCTCATGAATGATGTTATATACATTTTGACAGAAAAAGGGTTCCCCACATCTGCTATTAAACATCAGTCAGGTGCCACGAATAATTTCTTGGTATCAGA